AGAAGAAGAAGAAGGCTACTCACTGTCGTGCGGGACGGTGACTGCGAGCTCGCGCTGGTGCACGTATAGGAGCCCCACGGGCCCCACCACCTTGGTGGGCACGTTGATGAGCTGCGACGCCGCCTCCTTGTAGAGCGGGTGCGCCTGCAGCAGCGAGTGCGAGTCGTGCGGCGGCTCCTCCTGCAGCACGCCGCTCAGCACCAGCACCATCCTGCGCACACCGCACCACCACTTCAGCGCTCTCCCTCGCACCGCAAGCGTTTCGCACACTTTCCACAAACGGATGGCAGTTTCGCGGTATCCTCCTTGGAAACCAAATATGCTACACCGGGCACACAACTCTGGGCACCTATCGAACTCGTAGTACACAGTCCTCAGAAAGACACGGCCCCTCCAAATACACGATTTCAGTTCATCTCTATCAATCAATGACCAACCAATGCACTCCAACGCCAGCTAGCAAAATAAATATTCTAAAAATTGTTTTTCTACATCAAATTATTCGTCCTTTAACTCGAATGAACTCGGCATTACTCCATTCACCGTTCATTTCTCCTTGTCTCCTCGATTCCATCTAAAAATCGAAAAGAATCCTTTAGCCGTACATTTCAAAATTGGTAAACAAAATTCTCAGCGTAAACGTCTAAAACGATAAGTCCCACATGAGGTTTTTGACCCACCATTCACCCGATATGGATTTCCAATCAGGGTGTTCCTGATTTATTCTTGATATACGACTTAAGAACCGACATTAGCAACATATTTCACAAAATTATTCCAATATTCATTTTCTACATTCACTTCATTCCTTTGTTCACATATTTTTCTAGATTAGCGAAAACCAGGAGACGAATTTGTACGTAACCGTTCACACTCCTCCAAAGTCAAATTCACAATTCACACAAACTTGAAATAATATACATTTAAATATCATTCTCTGGCACACACATTATCAAAAGAACAAATCAGCACGAAAAAATCTGATGAAGAATGTACATACGATTTTTCTACAGTGCGATCCATTAAAATGTCAAAGATACTATGTTTAAACTCCATGCTCACCAAAAAGAAAGCAATTTTCAAAACAGGATTTTATAGTGTGAAGACTACGAAAAACATGCACCATTACGCGAGCACCGAGCGACTAAGAATTGTGGGAATTATACGTGGTTTGTCCTTTGCTGAGCACAGAACGTCCGCTGCACATCCCAGCGGCAACCAGTTATTTTTCTTTTTTTCCTTCACCAATAGAAGCGAACGTTCGTCGACCACCTCGACTCCTCGGGATTGGCAGTTGCTCGGTGATGGCCTAATGCTGCACATGCGGAACCGCTTTACGCTTCGACTTTCTGCATTCATCAATTCCTTTCGAACGCAAATTCAGGAACGTCACAGGAAAAGATTTCTGATAAAGTCTGTTATATTGTAACATTGATTAATGAAAGTATTAATACAGGTTCATACAAGTTTAACCCGACGGATTTATTTTTCATAGAACTGTTAAAATGTTTTAATGTTCTCAAACGACCTTTTTTCTTTTGAAAATCTCAGCTCACCCAATTAGCTCACTTGGGTCATCTATTTACTCCTTTCAAATCGTAAACAAATTCAATGCCTTTTCATTTACTGCTAGTCTTAATTCTTTAAAACATTTTTGGAAAAAGAACTTGACTAGAGGACTCAGTAGGGGATCCTCAACCATGAATTATATTTAAATTGTAGTTACAAGTCAACAAATGTTTTGAATACAAAAGTAAAGTTACACATAAACTTTAAAATGTACAACAAATAAAAACAATATAAATATAAAAAAAGTATTTATCCACGTTGTTGCGTGGTCTTTGATGTACACACGAGTGATGGAAAAATTATGCAATGAATTATATTACAAATATAACACAAAACTTATGAGTATCACGAAGATTTAATCACGAGTGAATTAGTCTTTATGTTTGTGTTTTCATTCAATTTTCAAATAACTTACAAATCTAACAGACATTGGTACACGGGATATCGAATTTACTCAATACGTATTTATTTATCAAGTCGTCTAAAATGTGCGATCTCGAACTAACCCATTAGCTTCGCTGCAATGCTACGTCGGGTGAACTAATGACTACATCGGTCTTTATGTTCCCTGAGTAGTGGTGCCAACGCTTAAGCTGTTCTTCACTGGATGTAAACGGACACATGTTGCGATGCTGTGTGCTCTCTTTTGGTAAGTACAAAGCATCACAACTACACCATACAGAATTTATCACACAATTTCCATTCTATCATACCTACCAAAAGAAAAACCATCACCTGCTAGCATTACACTTCGAACCGTTCAGACGGAAGACGCCCCAGCACAACTCCGCAATTCCTGCCTTCTTTCCATTGTGTGATAATTCACATTTACCACCATGATCACGCTCGTTTTAAATTCAACGCGATGCATTTATTCATGAAGGCAAGAAATGCATGATTGTTCGCGCAACCAAGGCATATCGTTACAGTTCATAATGTTCAGTTGGAATAAAAACCTTTTGGGTACATCCACAAGTGTAAACATAGCGACCCTGAGACAAATTTAAAAAGAACATTCTGGTTTTTAGTACTTTCTTCGCTTTAGCAATTTCCAACTCGAAGATTGCAAAAGTTTCATAATAGCAGTGAGCTTTGAAACGAAGTAAACGTCTACGCGAGTAACGCCAAGTAATAAACCACTTTGAGGAACTCGCAGTCTTCCATTATTGTTTCAGTTGCTGTAGTGCTTCAGCAGGTTCATGGAATAAAATTCTCGCAATAAAATGAATAACTTTCATAAATTTAGACGCAAAAGACCACCTTCAAGTAAAATATTTTGCACATACACATTGAAATATCATGGCACATACACAGTTGGATATACCGAATTCTTAATCGGACTTCAAGATTTTCTGAAGAAAAAGCGGCACACAGCAATTCTAACATTAACAATTTTATTCTTTTAAACCGTCACCTCGCCGACTCATTAAAAGAAATTCAGATGCCAGGATTATTAAAAATTCATAGAAATTATCATCTCTACCCAAGGTTAAAGCGCATAAAGCAAGGTTTCCCACCCCTTTTCTAGCAATGACCTCTCTACTCGTAGTGGTTTGCTCCCCTTTATTATCCCTTTCAAAATACTTAAAACGCCTTCAAGGTTGATACCTTGAAAGTTAGATGACGCGGCCACTATTTCTTCAGCTGTTGACTTAACAGATGTTTTACATCTTGACACAATTAGTCGCTTGATTCAGAGAAGCAACTTTTCTTATATCATCTGAGACCTGTTCTTCAATTTATCCTTCTGTGGGAGCTGGCTGAATGTCCACTGCAAAAGGCGGGCGGAAGTCGCTTCCTTCAACATATTTTTATCTACAGCCGCAGTTCCTGGTTTCCTAAACCCGTTCACAGTTGTGCTCCTGGCAGCTGAACGGATGAAAGCTTTTCCAGACGAACTTCATATCTGATGCAACGCAACGACTTTGTTGGGACGAATGGAATGCATGTTTTCAGTTTCCTGTCATGCCCCTGAGCACCCTTCTATGTCGTGGTAAGCCATATTCAAAACATGCTTAGTTAACATGGAATCCGTATATACCATTTTGCAGCTAACTAGCTGTACTATTTAGTGTATATACCAATTGTATAATTGTCAAAGTGCAACGTAAATGAGAGCTTTAAAGGTACCAAAATGCAAATTGCAAATGAGTACACACATTTCAAGTATGCGTCAGGCATGGAAATGAGGTTAGACGATGTCAAAACAATAATTGTATCCTGCAGTGATGTATTTCCCGCAGGTGCCGGCATTCTCGCTATAATACAGTGCCCTGTCTTGCCCCGCCTTCCCATACTAACCCCGACTGCCGCCTGATTCCCGTGTGTTTCCGCAGCCTTCCACCTCCGCCTAGGCGACGCGTGCGGGCGGGCGGCCACGCACCGCTGCCTCGCCGGAGGTCGAGCGCTGTCGCGGGCGCCGGCGCGTGAAAGAGCCCGCCCGGGGCACGCGCCGTGCGCAACAAGTGCCTCCGCCGCCGCACTGGCCTTTTTATCCGCGCTCCGCCGCGCGCCCCCAGGGGCCGGGCGCG